TATTTTAATTTTTATTTTATTTTTTCTACTCTTTTCTCAAAATTCTTTTTTGCTCTTATTTTAAATTTTTATTTTATTTTTTCTACTCTTTTCAAATTTTTCTTTTTTCTTCTTTTTTCCATCTTTTCTCTTTTCTCTCTCTCTCATTTTCTCATTCTCTCGCAGTCCCATATTGTTCTTTATCTTCCTTTTTGCTCCTGTTCTTGTACTGATTTAGATTTCTTCTTTATTTTTCTTTTCTTCTCTTTTTCCTTTTCTCAAATGTCATTAGCTTTAAAGGAAAGCACAGTTTCTAGCCTCCCTATTGTTGTTAGGTTGTTCTGTTCTTGTCTTTATTCTTTCATTATGTCTTTTCCTCTTGTCTTTAACAGTTTCTTAGAGTTTCTGTGATCTTCCTCTGTCCTCTGGCCTCACTGCTAACCTTTTCTTTTCCTTCTATCTGTCCTTCCCTCCCCAACTCCTTCTAACTTCCCATCCTGAAGGGAAAAGTTGCTATATTGAAGAGTCTATTCACTATAAACATATTGTTGGGCTGGTCCTTGATTTTGATTTAATTCACACAGTTAAAGGAAATAGATTAATAACTAACACAAATTGTCATTCTCTAAGCTGCACTTGATGCTATGCTGCTGCTGACTGTATCACTTGGGCTACGGTGTTGTGATTGATATAATCAGTTGTCCTTCCTGGTATAATGAAAATGAGATAGCCTCAGAGTCATTAGAGGCTCAAAACCTGAAGACCAGCTATATCTGGAAGACACCCCCGAGAAGCAATCATTTCATAAGGGTTCTAAATACAAGCAACAAAGATACTTACAATAAGCAATTTCAAAGTATCAGCTGAGCAATTAAACTAAGGACAGCACCAAAAACAAAAATGAGAAGACATTTAAGCAAGGCACAAACCCAGACTTCCACCCCAACAAAGGCAAACTCTGGGGGAAACAAGGTGGAAAAGTCTGATAGTCAACCACCTGGACACCCTGAACTAATAGCAGAGGAAGTAACAAAACAGATGAATGAGGCTCTAGAAAAATTTAAAACAGAAATAATTTTCCAGATAACTACAGAGATGGTGAGGAGAGTGCAAAACATGATTAGAGACTCTAGAACAGAAACAGATAAAAAAAAATAGAAGAGCTCAGAACCAGGCAGGAAGCCATGAATGCCCAGGATAGGAAAGAAATGGAAACCACGATTGCCTGACACAGGAAAGGAATGGAATCCATGAAACAAATTCAAACAAATATCCAGGAGATTAAAAACTCCATTGAAAGTATTCATACCAGATTGAGTGAATGTGAAGATAGATTATCAGATATAGAAGACAGGATTGCAGTTAGTGACCATGAAAACAGAGATTTCTTAAAAAATAGTAAGGGACTACAAGAAAGCAATCCAGCAGCTGCTAGATGATGCAAAGAAGAATAACATAAGACTAATAGGAGTCCACCAAAAAGCAGGAGAAAAATACAAATGACATAAAAAATCTGTTCACAGAATAGAACACTTCCCAGACAGAGGTAGATAATTGGACATACAGATAAATGAGACATATAGAACTCCAACTAGCCACAATCAAAAAAGATCTACACCTAGACATAGAATTTCAGTCAAGATCCCAGAAACCCAACAAAAGAACAAAACACTACAAGCAGTTAGAGAAAAGAAACAAATCACCTACAAAGGAAAGCCCATCAGAATCACAGCAGACTATGCAACACAAACCTTCAAGTCAAGGAAAGCCTGGAATGAAGTATTTCAAGCCCTTAAAGAAAATAACTTCCAACCTAGACTGTTGTGTCCTGCAAAATTATCTTTCAAAATTGATGGGGAAATTAGATACTTCCATGACAAAGAACATGTGAGAAATTTCATGAACACCAAACCAGCACTCCAAACAATTCTAAACAATATCCTAGAAAAAGACAATGAAGGTCACAACTCCAGGAGGCCCAACAGAGCAAAGCCACCAGGGAAGGCA